GATTGATTCAGTGACTGGGGTAATCGGGGTGGGTGTATCAGAGACGGTGAGATTGGCACAGGACAGAGCAGAGTTTAGGGCTGTTGTACATTGTACACAGGGTCGCTATGAGTCGCAAGCGACTCAATGAAACATAACAACAACAACCACCGTTGAATCAGATCTAACGGGTACAGGAGGAGATTTGCCCCTCCTTCTCCAGCGGAGCAAGTCACAGTCTTAAGACAGAGGATAACAGTCTGAGCGGAGCTCTTGCCCATTCAGTGTGGGCAGCGTCTAAGGGTGACCCTGCTCTCAGGGACACGGCCACGGCTGGAACCACTTTGGTTGGTTGTGGTTGACATGGGGAGAGGGGGGGCATTTATGGGAGGCTCTCTGGTCGGCTGCCTCCGGTGCGGGGGGCCCTCCAGGACACAGAAATTTTGCTGACCCATGGTGGTTACCTGGGTTGCAGATCAATGAATACGTGGATGCCCGGGACAGGAGCATGGGTGCATGGTTCGAGGCGCAGGTGGTGAAGGTGACCAGGAGGAAGGTCTCCAGGGACAGCTCTGACGCCAGCCAGGACCCGGAGTATGAATTCACTTACCATGTAACCTATGACGAGTAAGTGTCTGGGGTCTGAGGACTTTTAGGGGGTCAGTCTCAGGCAAAGGGTTCTTGGCGCTTGTTTGTGGGTCTCGGTTTAGTGTCCTCTAGATTTTGGGGTGAAGAGGATTGTGGGATCCTACTCAGAGGAGTGTGTCCTGGGGGTCTTGGGACCCAGCCCAAATTGCTCCACAGAGGTGCCTTAGGGTGGATTTGAACTTGGCAGTTGAAACTACCACCATCCAGGGAGTTAGTCAAGTTTTTGTGGAATCGAATGTGACTGGTGATCCCACGCTCTTCTCATGGCATTTTCAGTGTTTAATAAGTACATTGCTGGGCCTTTCTGCTGAAGCGCCTCTGTGAATTCATAGTGACCCCCCATCCGGTTTCTGAGGCTGTAAATCACCCTGGGAGGAGACTGCCCAGCTTCTGCCTGGAGCTGCTGGTGGGCTTGAACTGCTGGAGGTTAGCTGAGCTGCCTCTAGGTGGACAGAGTCCCCTGGGACTTGTGGGTGTGTGGGTGTGGGTGGACAGAGCCCCATGGGACTGTGTGTCTCTTTGGACAGAGTCCCATGGGACTCTGTGTGTGTGTGTGTGTCTTTGGACAGAGCCCCATGGGACTGTGTCTGTGTGTGTCTCT